ATGGAGTTGTTGTGGCGAATGGCAGGTATGTAAAGACTTCCATGCATGCAAATGGCCAGCAGATCTCTCAAATGAAGGTACTTCACTAGCATTGTTCTTTGATGCAATGAATGAAAAGAATCATTTAATGATCGAGGAGATCCAAAGGACCTGCAGTCAAATAATTACATTTTCTCACTTTGTTCCAAGGTCAGTTTCAACGAGCACCCGCACATTCTTTTCTAAACATTATGTTATGGTCACACTTAAAGTATTTGGAGAAAGTTTGATAATCCAAGAGAAGACTATCTTCCAGGGATAAAAGGGTCTTAAAAATGTTAGAGAGGGGAGCGAAACATTCTCTATAAGGATGTGGAAACCTTTCTCTAGTAGACGCTCTTTAAAAACCTTGAGGAGAAGCTCGAAAGGGAAAACTCAAAAAGGATAATATCTGTTAGCGGTGGGCTTAGGCTGTTACAAATGGTATCAGAACTAGACATCGAGCGGTGTGCCAGCGAGGATGCTAAGGGGAGGACACAAGGTGGTATGGCAGTAGGGATGCTGGGCCTCGAAGGGAGGTAGATTGTGAGATCCCACATCGACTGAAGAGGGGAATGAAACATTCTTTATAAGGGTGCAAAAACCTCCCCCTAATAGACACGTTTTAAAAACCTTGAAGAGAAGCCCGAAATGAAAGTTCAAAAAGGACAATATCTGCTAGCGGTAAGCTTGAGCTGAGCTGTTACAGTATCACTTCTTAATCACGGGAAAGCATGAGTACCGATCCCTTGGATGAAGTCAAAGCATCTTTCTATTTGTTACTTTTGCTATGATTTGTAGACTGAAATACCTGCTTGTGTTCATAGGCTAGAGCTATGACCAGAAAAGAGGATGCAATTTTTGCTATGATTTATAAACTGATATGCCTGCGTGTGTTCATAGGTTAGAGCTATGTCCAGAAAAGAGGATGCTATTCTATCCTAAACTCCCTAAAATCATTGGCTCGGATTATCTCGAGCATCGTATAAGATCTATACACAGGAGGAGTAAAGAATCAATTTCAGGATGTCATGTGTTTGGCCATACCCATTTTTGCTGGGATCATACGCTTGATGGCATCAGGTAATGTAATGATAATGAAGCAATGAGTTCTCTATCATAGATTGCTGAGGTGTTTGTACAATATTTTCATGGAAAATACAGATACGTCCAGGCGCCATTGGCTTATCCCAGAGAACGCAAGAGGAGGATGAATGGTGGTGAAGATTGGCTTCCTTTTTGCATTTATTGCAACGGCAGGTTCGCTCATAAACTCATCCCTTGTTACTGGTCCGATTATTATGCTGCTAATGCAAGATCACCCAATAACACTCAACTTGCTCCTTGGGTTTCCAAATTCTATAGAAGAAAATGAAAAAACAGTGTATCATTAATTTATTACTTTGATGAACATAAGAATTAAATGATTGAGGGTGAAAAGTCCAACCTCCGCTATTCGTTAATCCGTATGATCATAGGTTTATAAATAAGTTAGGGATTGATCCGTATGATCATAGGTTTATAAATAAGTTAGGGATTGATCCGTATGATCGTAGGTTTATAAATAAGTTAGGGATTGATCATAGATTTATAAATAAAGAACACATCACGAGCTTATGCTCAAAATAGACAATATTATAAACAATATTATGACAACATTATATTTTGTGGAGATCCGTGGTTCCTAATATAGTATTAAAACCATACCCTTAATTTAGCCATGTCGATAGAATCTTCAAGTGTTGAACAAAGACTGTGAGCCCATCTCGAGCTTATGTTCAAAATAGACTATTATACTTTGTGGAAATCCGTGATTCCTAACATAGTATTAAAACCATACCCTTAATTTAGCCATGTCAATAGAATCCTTAACTATGTCGATAACCATGTCGATAGAATCCTAAGTGTTGAACAACAAGTGTAGTCTAAAGTGTCTAATACCCTTAATTTAGCCTGTCGATAAAATCCTCAAGTGTTAAACAAAGACTGTGAGACTCGAAAGTGTAGTCAAAAGTGTCTAACACCTTTAATTTAGTCATGTCGATAGAATCCTCAAGTGTTGAACAAAGACTTTAATTTAGTCATGTCGATAGAATCCTTAAGTGTTGAACAAAGACTGTGAGACTAGAGGGCTGACAAGAACAACGGATACTGGGAAGAGGGCTGACAAGAACAACAGATTCAGTATCCGTGCAGTAAAATCTTGAGAAGCCTAGAGAAAAAGTCAAATTAAATGGAGAGAAACCTAGTGATTAAAGGAAGGCATTCGAAGCTCGTTCAAGGGCCACCGAAGGGCCACATAGGCCTCGGGGAGGATGGTTGGAAGGGAGTCTAAACTCAAATTTATGAGTGAGGAGTTTATCTCTATGAAACCAGAAGCCCCGAGAGCTTAACAAATTCCTAACATTTAAAATGAAAAAGATGTAAGCTGGAGTACTTTTATTACATTCCTGAACATAAAAGACCAAACAGCCCTCAGCCAACAAAGGCTTCCAGTCTTTTCAAAAAAAAAAAAAAAAAAAAAAACCCTACAAAATAAAATAAAATAAAAAATAAAAAACTTAGTAATCTTCCGGAGCTAAAGGCTGGTGGGGGGCATGTACAGGAGGTTCAACTGGAATCACCAAATACTCATAGACAAGTGCAGCAAGCCCACCTCCCAGCAAGGGCCCAATCCAGTAGATCCAATGGTTGTCCCATCTCCAGCCCACTAACGACGGCCCAAAGGCCCGGGCCGGGTTCATACAGGCCCCATCAAATACCCCACCCACTAGAATATTCGCCCCGACTATTAACCCGATTGCCAGTGGTGCTATTGTTTCCAAACTTCCCCTCTTCGGGTCTACTGCTGTTGCGTAGACTACGTACACCAAAGCAAATGTAAGCAATATCTCTAGTAGAAACCCGTGCAGTTCTGATATGCCTGATGAAACGAAGAACCCCATTGGCCTCTGCCATTTACCCACAAAGTAAAACAGTAAATTATAGCTAAAATCCACATTATGGTAAAAAGAATGTGTGCATGTGCCTGTGTGTTTTTACCATGCCACCCGTTGCGAGTCTCAAGATCAGGGAAGCCACAATGGCGCCCAAAATCTGAGCTACCCAATAGAAGAATGCACGGATAAGAGAAATCCTTCCTCCTAGAAGTACACCAAATGTAACAGCAGGATTCACATGCCCACCGGAGACGTTGATACTCGCCGCTACGGCCGAGAACAGCGCAAATGCATGCGCTATTGCTATTACTACTAAATCCGATGCCCCACGGCCCGTGTCGCCTCCCCTTCGACCGTAACCGTGACCATGGCTGTAACCATAACCACCACGACCGTAGCTTCCATAGTCTGCTGGCTTGAAAATTTTATCTGCAAACCAAAACAAAGAACTAATGATCCATCTGTTGAGAATGGTTGGGAGTGAATTTAGATAATGATTATGGGTTTATAAGTCAAGAATACTGTCTTCATCGATATGAGACCAAAACAAAGCCATAGAGCTTAGGATCAAAGTGGACAATATTATAGCACCGTAGAGGGTCGTGATTCTTAACAGATCTGATGGGTCATGAAAGCATGCATGTATGTACTTGGAATTTAAAAGGTATCGTACCGAGAGCGAGGACGGAGCCTTCTCCGGCAAAGACGAAGATGAAAGTGGAAAGGAACTCAGCCAAGGTGGCTCTAACGGAGTCGGGGTTGGTGGCCTCATCGGCCCGTCCAACGGCATATCGTCTCGGCGGCATGGCGGCGGCGGCGGCAAAAACAGCTGAAAACGAACCACCAACTCTTCCTTTTGCTCAGAGGATCCAACCAGAAGCGTTTGAAATTTGATGCTTTTAACGGTGGCTGAGAAGCGGAGGACCGAGGGATTTAAAATGGGGAAAATGGGGCTTGAGAAAGAGGGTGGGACACGTGTTGAGATGACGTGGCTTTGGGGCGACACGTTATGATATGTGTAAGCTCTTCAATTTCGACTCCAAGCAGTGTCTTGTCTCCATAGCTTTGGATTTGTTTTAGAGTTTTTGGAGGTGTTCTGTTTTGGACGAAGATACTGACAGACCTTGTTTTGATATCGCTGAGGCCCATCTCCTTTCCGTCCAAGCCATACCCCTTCGCCCCGGGTTATATTTAACACGTAAGATGTCTGAAAAAAAATGCTACATAGATAAAATAATATTTCTAGTTGCCCCTTAGTTGATACCCGGTGTGCATTGAGTCGAGTTGAAAGATTTTTTTTTATCCAACCCAGAAGTTCGAGTACGTTGGACGAGGCAGCCGAACTTTATAGGATATTTTGAATTAGTTAGATTGATACTTTTTATTAGGGGTGTACATGGGTCGGTCGGTTGGATTGTAGATTAAAAAGGTATTAATGCAATTGTTTTAAATTAAAGGATATTTTTAAAAGGTAATTAAAAATATTTTTGAAATAATAATAACAATTTTCATATCTACTTAATTATATATTTTATATATTTTTTTTAAGTTGAACGATTATCAAAATATTTAAAAGTTAATTGATATATATATATTTTTTTACAAAGTATAAAGTTTAGAATAATTTTATTAATTTAGTATGGAATAACAAAATAAAAAAGGAAATAAAAGAAAAAAGAAACAAGAAACCCTAAACCCCTTTCATCTCCCTCGCTCTCACGTGCTCCCCTTCGTCTTTCCCGCCGGCTCCTCCTCCATTTAAGCATTCTCAGAGTCTTCGCCGCCGCCTACGCCGTCGTCCTTCGTCTTTTCATGCCACCGTATTAAGTTATTTTTAAAATATATATATAAAAGGAGGAACTAAACAAAATAATAAAAGAAAATATGCACTTGACTGGAGTCGAACTCGGGCGTGAGGATTCTTAGACAGGCCGAAAAAACACTCTGGCAAACCTATTAACATGGAAAAAAATTTATTTTTGTTATATTACTTTGAATTTATAATGGTCCGGGTTGTCGGGTTTCCGGGTTGAATGTACACCCCTACCCTAAACCCCTTTCATCTCCCTCGCTGTGCTCCCCTTCGTCTTTCCCGGCTCCTCTTTAAGCATCTCTGAGTCGTTGCCGCCACCGCCGCCGTCGTCCTTCGTCACCGTACTCTCCATATTGAATCGGTTACTTACTCAGTTACCGGTATTCTCCCTATCTCCATCCATGTTTTTCCTTCTTCCTTGAAAAACTCAAATTAGACCTTGTAAAAGGTTTGTTAATGGAATACATGGTAGACACCAACTCGAGAATCGGTAGTTAGCTCCAGATACGTAACTTTTCCTTATAATAACCTTGAGCCGAGTCCCTATTTTTGTTCTTTTTCTATTGTTTGCGAAATTAAAAGTTCCTGAATGTTCTTGTCAATGATACAGAATCAACGCTGGTGGGAGCAGCAGATATGTCTGCAGTGGAAGAGAAGCTAGAGGAAATCGAACCTTCAACAAGGAATAATGAGGAGCCAGTGGAAGAAGATGATGAAGAGGATGACCTTTCGTGGTCATCAGACTCTGAGATTGGAGAAGCATTGGACTGGTTGGATGCTAAGGAAGATCGTGAGGCAGATGGGGCTTTTTCACTCAATGCTTGGCGTCCTAATGCTCATGGTGGGCTTTATTCTCGTCATAATTCCTCAACTCTTCAACCTCTCTCAAATCGAAACCAGAAGTTTACCAATCATATTCGAGCTTCACCTCTTGGGGTATATTATACTTAATTCTTCTGATTTTCTATTGTTGGTTGTGTCATCCCTTGCTCGAATTACATCTTAATTGTTTGTTAATGTAGGAATGGGAAGGGAGGTTTAATGTAGGAATGTCAAACTCTGTTACCACTGCCATTCGAGACAGTGTCAAGGAAATGGCGATAGGAAAAACGAAAACTACAGAGAAAGCTGATCGTGCAACTGTCGAACAGGTCGGTGGTGATAATATTGTCTTGGTTTTGTCTGAAACAATCCAATCCCCTTGTGCACAATTAGTATTTATATCATCAAATGCATGACTGCTGCAGGCAATAGATCCTAGAACTCGGATGGTTTTATTCAAGATGCTCAATCGAGGCGTTTTTCATGACATTAATGGCTGCATTTCTACTGGGAAAGAAGTAAGTATCGTATAATTTATTTTGTAAATGAAGCATAGAAATCTTTTTATGATCCTATGTTTTTCATGACATTAATGGCTGCATTTGTCTTTTTCTGTGTATAATCTACAGGCCAATGTCTATCATGCAACAAAATCTGATGGGCAAGAATTCGCTGTCAAAATCTACAAAACTTCAGTTTTGGTGTTCAAGTATGTTGTGACTCTCTTTAGTTTGATTTGCAGATCATTGCTTTGGCTATATTCATAGATTTTACTAATTAGGTTCAGCAGTGATGATAATTTTTTTTTTTTTTATTTTGTTAGTTTGAATTGTGCACGAGAATGATTTTCGTAGTTTGGTTTGTCCCTTCTATCTGAGTCGAAACTTGCCTTACAATTTTGTGATCTTCTTTCCACTGTAATTGTTTGGAACTTGTTGATCGTTTGCATTGATGTCCTGAGCTTAGTTTATTATGCTCATCAATTTCAGGGATAGGGATCGCTATGTCCAAGGCGACTACCGTTTCCGACATGGATATTGCAGGCATAATCCCAGGAAAATGGTTAAGACATGGGCCGAGAAGGAAATGAGGAACTTGATGAGGTAACTACACCAACTATTTGTCGTTCATAAGAGACCTCCATTATCTATAACATTTACTAAAAAATTGATCGGGTTGGACATGGAATTTTCAGGTTAAAAGCTGCAGGAATTAGATGCCCGACTCCTCTCCTCTTGAGACTGCATGTGTTGGTCATGGAATTTATCGGTATGTGTTGTTCATAATAATCAATAATTGACAGATACAGTAGCTTGGATGGATAGCCTGGGAGGTTTTCTTGTTTGATTTTGAGTTTATCACTGGCACTTGGTTCTAGAAGAAAAGGCATGACCAACATGTCTAAATCATTCTAATTTTGCAACGACTAATTTCATCTAGCAACTTGCTGTATGACTGGCATCTGTTTTTGAGTCACATCTTGAATAAAAGGCCCCGTTGATTTTCTTTTTCCTTTTTTGTAGGTAAGACAGGTTGGGCTGCACCTCGTCTCAAGGACGCTGCCTTGTCGTTAAACAGGTTACGTGAAAGTTATTTGGAGGTATGTTTGTATCTATAAACGTTGTCACCGAGTCAAGCCGCAAATAGCTTAATTATTGCTGCACCTCCATTTCCCTGCTTCAACCATAATTTTTTAAGAACCCAGAAGCTAATCATAGAGACTGATAGTTCTGGAGCTTTGACTGTTTAGTGATAAATAAAATAGTGATACTATGTACATAATCAATGTTAAAAAGGAAAATCAGTAGCTAGTCAACTTTTTCAGCAACAAGAGGCTGATTAAGACGGTCGAGAAAAAAAAAATTGCTTACATCGTTTCGATTTGGTACTTTTTCTTTGCATTTTTCAGGTTATTATTACAATGCGGACCCTCTACCAGAAATGCAAGCTAGTGCATGGAGATCTTAGTGAATATAACATACTTTATTTTGAGGTTAGCAATTGCGATAGTTGTTGGTTCGACAATGGCATTATGGGAAAACTAATGCCTGTGTCTTTCTTGCATCACAGGGTCACCTTTATATTATAGATGTTTCTCAATCTGTTGATCTTGACCACCCTCATGCCCTCGATTTCCTTCGTGAAGATTGTCTTCACGTTTCTGTAAGTCTTCTTCGGTTTTTTCCTTGACTTCTTCCTATGTTTTGAACTTTTGATGGAGTGACTTTGAGAGGATACTTGGTGTACTGACAAACAGGATTTCTTCAAAAAACATGGTGTTGCTGTAATGACAATTCGAGAACTGTTCGATTTTATAGTCGATCCATGCCTCACTGATGAGACGATTGATAGTTATCTGGAGGAGGTTCGATTTTAATTGTTACTATTATGATTAATTTTAGAAAAGTTCTGTCTTTTACCATGTCTTATAAATTGCAGCTGCAAGAAAAAATCTCGGCAAGAGGTGATATATCAGTGGAGGATGAGATTGCAGATTCTGTATTTGTGCAGGTAATTTGTACTTGTAGTTATCAACCATGGTTTTATAGGTTCATTTTACGATAGAATTGAAGGCCGAGTCCTTGCGATCTGTTGGTCGATGAGCGGTTTAATTACAGTTCTTGGCTTACTGCAATATAATTTTAATCTTTTTCGCCTCGATTCCAGTCGTATATTCCGAAGACCTTGGATAGTGTCAAACATGCTGAGGAGGATGTAATACGTTTAACAAGTGGTCAGAACACTGAAGATATGTACTACAAGACCATTACAGGGTTAAAACAGGCTCTTCCAAGAGTTCAACCTGCATCAGAGCTAGAACACGACACAGACCCGATTGAACAGTCCGAAAATTTAACCGGTTTGTCAAATTCTTGCGAGAAGGAAACCGAATCAGTGTCAGAGTCAGATGAAGAGAGCTCGGATGAGTCGGAAGAAGAAGACGGACCAAGTTCTTCAACTGAGACGACGACTCAAACACCAGCTGAGAGGAAAGCTGCTAGAAAAGAGAACAAAAAGAAGGTGAAGGAAGAGAAGAGAGAGTCCCGCAAAAACAAGGTTCCAAAGGCTGTGAAGAAGAGGAAGAAGAAGTTGGCTAAGTCCCACAAGTAAGGTTGACCTAATCCTTGCAATTACTTTGGTTTTGTTCGAATTTTGATTTACATTCAATGATATGATATGTAGTTTATTGTTTATTTATCTTAAACCTTCATTTTACAATAGTGCAAATGAAAATGGAGATAATTTAGAAAAATCTATCTTCCAATTGGCTAATTTGTGCATTTGTGATTGTTCTAAAATTTAATTTTTTTTTTTTTTTTTTTGGGAATGGTAAAATTTATTGTTTAATGATTTAGATAAGTCTGTCGTCGGTAGGTTTTGTCCTCTCCAGGCTTTCTTTTTAAGGATTTTGAAATAGGGACTCGTTCCCCTCTCTCCAACTGATGTTGGATTCCATGAGTCACCTCCTTTGGGAGTCTAGCATCCTCCCAAGCACATCGTCTAGTATTTATTGGTCTGGTATTTGTTGACTCTGATACTATTTGAGGCACATGTGTTTGTTTGACTCTGATACTATTTGAGGCACATCGTCTGGTGTCTGTCTGACTCTGATACTATTTGAAACACATCGTCTGGTGTCTGTCTGACTCTGATACTATTTGAAACACATCGTCTGGTGTCTATCTGACTTTGATACTATTTGTAACACATCGTCTGGTGTCTGTCTGACTCTGATACTATTTGAAACACATCGTCTAGTGTCTGTCTGATTCTGATGCTATTTGTAACACATCTTCTGGTGTCTGTCTGATTCTGATGCTATTTGTAATACATCGTCTGGTGTCTGTTTGACTCTGAACTATTTGTAATACATCGTCTGGTGTCTGTTTGACTCTGAACTATTTGTAACACATCGTCTGGTGTCTGTTTGACTCTGATACTATTTGTAACACATCGTCTGGTGTCTGTCTGACTCCGATACTATTTGTAACACATCATCTGGTGTATGTTTGACTCTGATACTAATTGTAACACATCGTCTGGTGTCTGTCTGACTCTGATACTAATTGTAACACATCGTCTGGTGTCTGTCTGACTCTAATACTATTTGTAACATATTGTCTGGTGGTGTCTGTCTGACTCTGATACTATTTGTAACGTATTGTCTAGTGTCTGCCTGACTCTATTACTATTTGTAACACATCTTCTGGTGTCTGTCTGACTCTGATACTTTTTTGTAAAACATCGTCTGGTGTCTGTCTGACTTTGATACTATTTGTAACACATCGGGTGTCTATCTGACTCTGATACTATTTGTAACACATCGTTTGGTGTCTATCTGACTCTGATACTATTTGTAACACATCGTCTGGTGTCTATTTGACTCGATACTATTTGTAACACATCGTCTGGTGTCTGTTGACTCTGATACTATTTTTAACCGTTTAAACTCATTGTTAGTAAATATTGTCTATTTTTTCGATACATATCTTTTAGATTTGGCTTTTAAAAAAAAATAATAACAAAAAGGAGTATCTCGATCTAATTTTCATCTCAAAGAAAATGAAGCTGTAGATGATAGGTAGGTTCTGAATATCTCGATACGTAGAGGATGGTAATGGGAAGGTGTAGGTGATAGGTAGGTTTCGAATATCTTGATATGTTGCGGATGGTAATGGCAGGCTTAAATCCAGGGCATCGTCAATTCAAATTGAAAAAGGGGAAATTATTATTTTTAATTATTTTGGATCTTTCATTCAACATCAAAAGCTCCTTAAATATTATTCCTTTCAATTAATTTTATTTTATTTAATTTGTTCAAGTATCTTTAAATATTATTCTTTATAATTAATCTATTTTTTTGCCACATTAATCAAATTTTACGAAATTAAATTAAGGATTTAACTATGAAATGTTTCATTTTTACTCATTAATTATGAAATTTATTCCAAAAAGAAAATTCCATAAAGATTTATTTCAATAAAAAATAACTTGACGGACAACACATACAAATTAAAAGAATTATAAATAATATTAAATATCCTTTTCGCGTTAAATTTTATATTTTAGTATGTCTGTAATAAAAGATAAAAAATAAAAATTTTCAAAATATTTTTGTTTAAATAATACAAATTAGAAAAGCGTAAATAAAAATAAATAAATACTATGAAATACATAAAAGAATGGGAGACCTAAAACCCTTTCGTCCTCTGCTGCATCCTCCTCTTCTTCACGCCGGCATCTCCTCCATTTCAGCAGCTTAGTGTCACCGCCTCCGCCGCCTCTCACCCGTTCAGTGCCGCCGCCGTCGTCATTTTTCTTCCGCTTGTGCTGTCGCAGCCTCTCTCCTAGAGAGTTGTATCGATCTTCTAGTTGTTACTGGTACTCTCCTAATCTCCATCTCTGTCTTTTTTCTCACTTGAAAAACTCAAATTAGGACTCGTCTAATGAAAGAAATGAGGATTTATTTTGATTTTACTGTACTAATATTCTATAAAAGTAGCAGAATAGCAAAAGAAAAAAAAATCAGTTGCTGTAAATTTGGACTTCACGAACTGCCATGAGTCGAAGTAATCAATGGCATTATCCAATTCTCTTTTTGAATCCTAGCTTGTAGGAGTTGTTTTGATTGACAGAACAACCTCAACCAGATATATATTTGTACATTTCGGAGGAAGACGCAGATTTCACTTGCAGTCGTTGGCGTGAAATTAGGGAAGATTGAAGCTAGTTGATTTCTGGTAAGGAAATTCCTAACTCTTTACTTTTTCTTTGCAATTCTTCGCTCCTCGTTCTTCTTCTCTTCCTACTCCGTGCCGCCATTTTTCCCCTCATATTTTACGCCATACATCTCTTTCAATCCTGCAACTTCGACTACTTGCGTGGAATTTAAGCTTGAAGTAGCGCATTATAAGTGTGATGCCTAATTTGTGCCTGAAATGTAATGGTTTTTCATTTTCCTTGTTGTTTTGGATCGGATCTAGCTGATCGGATAATAGAGAATAACTCGTAGCTCATTGTAAGGGTCTTCAAAATGGCAAGTGGACCTGGACTTGAATCACTGGTTGATCGTAAGTTATCTCATTAATAATCCCTCAAACTCTTTGTTTGTATACGTATATGTAGTTCATACAGTGTGAAAATGAGATAATTATTTTTTCTCTAGAGGATAGTATTGATCTTCTGAGGCATGCAAATTGAATGAATGTCTTCTTTTGAGCTGGTTATGAATTGTTCTGGGAGATTCAAAAGTTCCTTTTTGTACTATTTTCTGTTTGATTTAATGAAACCTAGAATATTATCCATCACACTGTTGGATGATGAAAATCTCACTAGTCCCACGTCGGCTAATTTAGGGAATGATCATGGGTTTATAATCAAATAATACTCTCTCCATTGGTATGAAGCCTTTTGGGGAAGCCCAAAGCAAAGCCACGAGAACTTATGCTCAAAGTGGACAATATCATACCATTGTGGAGAGTCGTGTTCGTCTAACATGGTATCAAAGCCATGCCCTAAACTTAGCCATGCCAATAGAATCCTCAAACGTCGAACAAAGGACTCCAAAAAGAAAAGGAGTCGAGCCTCCTCGAAGGCATAGTAAAAAATGACTAAGACTCCAAAAGAAAAATGAGTCAAGCCTCGATTAAGGGGAGGCGTACTTTGTTCGAGGGGAGGTGTTGGATGATGAAAATCCCACTAGTCCCACATGGCTAATTTAGGGAACGATCATGGGTTTATAATCAAAGAATACTCTCTCCATTGGTACGAGGCCTTTTGGGGAAGCCCAAAACAAAGCCATGAGAGATTATGCTCAAAGTGGACAATATCATACCATTGTGGAGAGTCGTGTTCAATCTAACACACATGTCCATGTAAAAACTAAAGGCTTAGACGGGGTGAGTTCAAGCATGATGACCACCTACCTAGAATTTAATATCCTACAAGTTATCTGGATAGCCAAATGTAGTAGGATTAGACGTCCTGTGAGAACACTTGAGAAGTGCGTTAGCTAGCCAAAACACTCGTAGATATATATTAAAAGAAACAAGGAAATTTAGAATATCATACATTTTGGTATAGAACGATTTCAGATGTAAATGGGGTGGTTCTGAGAAACTAATGTATTTAAAGTTCATGTTGAATTCAATTTCAGTTGACTGACTTTACCTTTTAATTTTTTTAGAAACAATATCAGTTATCACTAATGATGGCCGCAATATAGTGGTATGTTCATGAACTATCTTCCAGTTGACTGATATTTCATCCACCCAATTCGTGTCTATATTAACGATACTTCATTCAGGGAGTGTTGAAAGGATTTGACCAGGCTACAAATATTATCCTCGATGAATCTCATGAACGTGTTTACTCGACCAAGGTTTGTATGCTGACCATGTAACTTAGATGGAATTTTCTACGTTCTATTTCTCTTTCATCGACTGTTGGTGCAATCGAAAAAAAAAAACTATAGCTAATTTTCTACATTCTATTTCTCTTTCATCGACTGTTGGTCCTTATTCTATGCAGTGGACAATGTAAAAAATCTAGTTTCATTTTTTGTTTTATATTCATTTTCAATTATTCACCATATAGGCCTTTGTTTTGTGAAATTATTATTACCCCCATTGATCTCAGGGCCCATCATAGTTGTTTGCTTATATCAATTTTTTGATTAATATTAGGATGATTCTCGGTTTAAATTTTTGTTCGGAATATGGGTTTCGGAAAATTCACAAGAAGATTCCGACTTGATGGATTTCAAGGGATTTAAGGTAGAGCATTTTTCCTTTGCATTCCGTTTTTATAACTCGATTCTTCTCTTGTTCTGCAGGAAGGAGTTCAGCAACTTGTTTTGGGTCTATATATAATCAGAGGCGACAATATGTAAGTTACCGTCTCATTTTAGTTTACTCTCTCTACACATGCTAACCTGAATATCTGAACGTAGCTCAACTAGTTAAGGTATATACTTTCAACCAAAAGGTTACAAGTTTGAATCTCTCTCACCTCATGTTATTGAACTCTAAACAAAAGTATGCACGTATAATCACATGTTATTGAACTCTAAACAAAAGTATGCACGTATAAGCACATGTTATTGAACTCTAAACAAAAGTATGCACGTATAACGACATGTTATTGAACTCTAAACAAAAGTATGCATGCATAACAAATGATGTGAACTATGTATATCCTCAACCAAGAAGCTAGAAGTTTGAGCTTTCACACTCGACGTGTTATTGAAGTTCGAACTCTAAGAAGATTGTGTG